TATAAAACAAAATAGAGAGCCCAGAAATAAACCCATGCCTATATGGTCAATTAATATTTGATAGAGGAGGCAAAACCATACAATTGGGTAAAGACGTTCTATTCAATAAATGCTGTGGGGAATATTGAACAGATACATGCAAAAAAACAAAAACAAAACCAGACCACCAACTTATACCATATACAAAAATAAACTCAAAATGGATTAAAGACTTAAATGTAACACTCAAAACCATAAACTTCTAGAAGAAAACATATATGGTAAAATCTTTGACATTTAGCAATATTTTTTCTGATATATCTTGTTGGGCAAGGGAAACAAAATAAAAAATAAACAAATGGAACTACATCAAATTAAAGACTTTTTGCACAGCAAGGGAAACAACAACAAAATGAAAAGACAACCTACTGAATGGGAGGACATATTCACCAATGATGCATCTGATAAGGGGGTTAATATACAAAATTTATGAAGAACTCATACAACTCAACAACCCCTCTTCCCCAAAACACACACACACAAAACACACACACACACACACACACACACTCCAATTAAAAAGTTGGCAAAGGATCTGAATAGACACTTCTCTGAAGAGGACATACAGATGACCAATAGACATATGAAAAGTTATCAATACTAATCACAGAGAAATGCAAATTAAAACCACAATGAGCTATCACCTCACACTTGTCAGAATGGTTACCATCAATAAATCAACAAACAACAAGTGCTGGTGAGGATGTGGAGAAAAAGGACCCTCGTGCACTGCTGGTGGGAATACAGATTGTTGCAACCACTGTGGAAAACAGTATGGAGTTTCCTCAAAAAATTTAAAATGGAACTGCCTTATAACCCAGAGATTCCACCTTTGGGTACATACCTAAAGAAACCCCCAAACACTAATTTGAAAGAATATATGCATCCATATTGTTCATTGCAGAATTATTTACAATAGCCAAGATATGGAAGCAACCTAAGTTTCCATCAATAAATGAGTGGATAAAAAAAGTGGTTGTACATATATACATTGGAATATAACTTGGTCATAAAAGAGAATGAAATATTACCATTTGTGACAACATGGGTAGACCTAGAGGGTGTTATGCTAAGTGAAATAAATCAGTCAGAGAAAAACAAATATCATTTGATTTCACATATATGTGGAATCTAAAGAACAAAATAAATGTATAAACTAAATAGAAACCTATTCATAGACATAAAGAACAGACTGATGGTTGACAGAGGGGAGAGGTGTTGGAGGACTGGGTGAAAAAGTGAAGGGATTAAGAAGTACAAATTGGTAGTTAAAAAATAGTCACCAGAATGTAAAGTACAGCATAGGGAATATAGTCAATAACGTTGTAATAACTATGTATCGTGCCAGGTGGGTTCCTGAAAATATCTGGGGGAACACTTTGTAAAGTATATGATTGTCTAACCACTGTGCTGTACACCTGAAACTAATAAAAATAATATTGAGTTAAACTGTAATTGAAAAAATAAAATTTAAAAAAAGACAGGAGGAAAGTGGCTGAGAGAAATTAGATAACTTGCTGTGGATCGCATGAGTCGTAAATGACAGACCTGGGACTTGAACCTAGCGCTGTCTAAACTCAAAACCTTGTGTTCTTCAAACAGAAAGAACAGAGGAGATCCAGGATGAGCACAGGTTTCCTGAGCCTATTCACAGTGCACACTGCCAAGTCAAAACGCTGTGGGGATGAAGGTGTCAGTGAGGGTGACTCAGTGTCACAGCGAGGGGGAGGTGTGAGATGTCTGGCACCCTCAGGCCCAGGCCTCACCAGCTATAGTCCAGGATCCATAACTGCCAGCATGTTCTTATCTATATATATAAAAGCCAAGCGACTAGAACGACCGGAATGACTGGTCGCTATGACGTGCACTGTGGCAGCCAACCAGCCTGATCAGGGGCTGGGCCGGTTGGCCAATTTCCCGTGTCCCCTCCCCACTGCCAGCCCAGCCCCAATCGACTCCGATCTGGGCGGGCTGGCCAGACCCCACCGGTGCATGAATTTATGCACTGGGCCTCTAGTTACAAATAAGATATTAACTCATAGGCATAGGTGACAAATATCTTTGTTGATTCTAAAGCACCATATGAAAGTTTGTTGTCATTATTGTATGGTTATTACTATTCAGCTGGTGGTGTATCCAGGGAACTCACTGTAGCTCAGATCACTGCAGTGGTGCCTGTGATATCAAATGGCAACTGAGAACATAACCTGACTTGAAATTTCTGTTCATATTAGATCACAACACCTGAAAGTCTTTGAGCTTCGCTTATGGATTTTTTCAGTAAAACCCAATGTGTACATGCACTCATTAGCCAGGTGTTTTCATCATTTGCTAGCTGCCTGGTGCTGAAATCAGACTTTATGTTCAGCCTTGGGTGACCAACAGCCCTCCTGGCTCTTCAGAGCTTAGTTAGAGGGACACTTAGAAACCCCAAAACAGATGTAACAGGACCCCAGGCCTCCTCTCTCAAGTCCCAGGCGAGAGGTCGAGAAGCCAGCCTCCTGCGTCCAGGAGAGAAAAGGCCACGGGCTGTGCTGCAGGCTTCTTGGGCATCCTCGAGGCCGTGCTAAAGGGATTGCCTGGAAGAACATCCAAATCCCTTCACCGTCTGAGGCCCGCCTCCTCCACAGAAGCCTTTTCCAGCATGGCGGCCCCTCCAGTCCTCTCCCCCCTCTAAGGTCCTATTGTCTTAAATGCTTGTGCCACCCACTCAGACACTGAAGCCCGGTCTTGTGGTGTTAGCTATGCACTTTCTGTATGTCTGTGCCATTTCTTTCCTGGTGACAACCACATGTTGACTTGTGCCAACACTGATGATCGGGTTGGTCAACGTCACCTTGTTTCAGAGAGGGCTGAAGGGGGCTACTTCATCATTGTAAGTGCCACGATGTCCTCAGTGGACTTCTGTTTTGGTGTTGAGTGCTGCCTCTCTCTCCAGAGTATATGTCCTTTGAGAACTGGTATCTTGTAATCTTGGACTCAACGAGAATGTGTGCCTGACATACCCTGGGGACTCAGTGACAATGTATTGCTCAGTATCGGGCAAAGGGCTAGTGTCCCATCCAGATCAGCTCCCTCTGGTGCTAACCATTTGCATAACACCCTTACTTCTCTTCCACTGCAGTAACCATGATTTGTATCATACATTCGTTAATTTGTGAAGACCTTTCCCCCCACACTGGGAGACCGTTTTGGTTCTCCCTGTGTCCCCAGCACTCAGTACAAAGCCTAGAACCAGGTAGGACCAGGTGAAGACTGGGTCAATAACTACACATCTGAACAAATCAGCTTGGTCCCTGTAGGAGAGGGCAAAGGTGGAGACAGGGGGAGTTAGCACCTGGGTGCTGGCGGTGTCTGAAGGGAGGTCAGCTTCAGAAGGCCACGCGGAATAATGGCAAACACTTTGGCTGAGAAGTCGGGCCCCTGGGGGCAGGCATTTTCCTGCACCAAGGTTTATTTTTTTATGTAACCTTGAGATTATCTTGTGAGGGTTGAAGGAGATATTTTTGTGAAATTGCTTTTGTAAGCCATAAAGTGGCATGGCAAGATGTTATTCATCATCCTAAGATCTGGTCCCTGCCTACCCATCCAAATTTATTCCTTATTAATTTGATTTATCTAGGCCAGTGTTCTCATTTTTTAAAATGTGTTTTTCCCTCATTGCAAAAGCACTACATTGTAATAATAAAACTATTAGGAAATTCAGAAGGAGCTCAAAATAAATCATCTCTTAAGACTACCACCTAGAAATAACACTATTAACATCTTATGTAGAGCCAAAATATATTTTCTAAATATGTATAACCTAAGTTTCCCAGGTGTCGGCAGCTGGGGACAGTCAGGGCATCATTGCTCTCCATTCCGCCTGGCTCTGGCTCTGCTGCAGGCCGCTGCCTGGGTGGGGCTTCCACACCTTGGTTGCTTCCAGCAGCAATGCCCCTGAGGGGTAGGTACTGAGAGCTGGCTTCTTCCAACACTTTTCATTTTCTGAAAATACTTACTGGGTTTATGTATGTATTGCTTGTCTCTCTCCACTGGAATCTAGGCTCCACAGGTGCAAAGCTTGCTGGATTCGCATTATTGCTGCTTCTCTGGCACCTAGAAAAGTGCCTGCACAGAGCAAACATTCACTGAATGGTTGAATGCACACCTGCGAACTGCATTACCTCATATAGAACACCAGGCACTTGCTTCAGATGAGTTGTGCATGTGAACCCTACAGAGACCAAGGTTGCTGGGAATACACATCTGGTCTGCCAGATCTAGTGATTGTTGGAGATTTGGCCTCAGCAGGGGTACAACACAGAATCCCAGCCTCCTTTGCAGTCACTACAGCTGCCTGCAGTAATTTCAGGCATGCCCTCAGACCATGTTACTTAGCACAAGGCCAAAGCATTCTGCAAAGTTTGTCCTCAGGTTCACAGTGCTAATTAACAGCACCAACTGCCCCAGATCCTGTCCCACAGCCTGTTCCAGCACCGTTTAGGTGGTGCCCTTATTGGGCCCTTAGGTTTTTCTTACTTACTATACTACTGCAGAGCTTTCTTAGGTAGGGCAGTGATTCTGGCCACAATTCTCTTTCTCCATCTTCAAGGGTAAGCTTCCATAATGGTGCAGACAGCGTTTGTGGGTCAGATGCAAAGAGCTGAAAGATCACTGCTGAGAGCTGGGGTTGCTGAAAGAGGGTGTCCAGTTAGCCCTGAGGCTACCCCCTGCTCAGGCACAAGAGTCAGCCCCTGCTGGGCTGGACCCATCTCCAGACTCAGGTTGCTATGCAGACTTCCCACTGTAATCCCTCCATCGCTCCTCATCTCCAAAACCTGGAAAAGGTTGGGACGAGGCCTGTTTTCTGGGGGGCATTGCAACCCTAGCGAGAGGGACATTTCCCCCCATTGCCATAAACCCCTTCCTCTCTGGCGCCTGGGGGAAAGACGGCGTTTTCATCTCTGTGTGTTTCCTAGGCGGGATTCAAACACGGGTCGCAAACGTGCTCTCCAGACCTGAAGCGTTACCCTTGCTCTGAGGAGCCGGGATCTGCCAGGTGAATGAGAGATCAAAAGATGGACAGGATACCCCACAGCCCCTGGTCCTCAGATCTGAAGTCTGTGAAATCTGTGTGGGTGTCTTTGCTGCTGTTTTTAATATTTATGAGAATCATTAGCAGGCGCTTAGCTTCCAGAAACTGAGTTCATCAGTTGGCCATTATTTTTCCCAGTCTACTTGAGGACACAGTTTTCTCCCCCCTCTCCTCCCCCTGCCCCAGCTTTATTGAAATATAATTGGCATATGACATTATATAACTTTAAGGTACACATAATGATTTGATATTTGAATATATTGTAAAATTATCACCACAATAAGTCTAGTTAACTTCCATCACCACACATAGTTACAATATTTTTTCCTGTTACAAGAACTTTTAGAATTTGCTCCCTTAGAAAATACAATATTGTTAGCTATAGTCACCATGCTGTATGTACGTTACACCCCCAGGACATACTCACCTTGTAACTGGAAGTTTGTTCTTTTCTACCACCTTCACTCATTTCTCTCCCCTTTGGCACTGGAAGAAGATATGAGAAGTCATAGGCATATAGGAGAGACTTTATCGCAGACCAAGTAGCCATTGATTACAAGGAGCCATCAGACAAAACAGTTTTCAAAGTAGCCCCACAAAGCAGCTGCGCACCTGCTGGCCAGTAACACCTCTTTATACCAACTTAGACAAAAGAGGCTTCTTGCCAAATAGGGACATCAATATTTGGGTTATAGAGAGGTACGCCTGCGCAGTGCGAGCAGTAAAACTGCTGTGCACATGCATATGGCAGATTGTCCTTGAACACCCGGTGTACTCTGTTTAGGTTCCCACACCCCCACACCCCACCCCAGGTAGCCACCAATCTGTATTTGGTACCTATGAGTTCAGTTTGTTTTTTATTTTGTTTTGAATTCCACATGTGAGATCATATAGTATTTGTCTTCTTTGTCTGATTTAATTTAGGGTAAAGCCCTTCCATCCAGGTTGTCGAAAAGAACAGATTTCCTTCTTTTTCATGGCTGAATAATATTCCATTGTGAATATATGCCACCTCTTCTTTATCCATTTATCATTCATGGATACTTAGGCTGTTTTTATATCTTTGCTATTTTGAATAATGCGGCTATGTTTCTGAATGCCACAGGGAAGCATGATCAGGCCTGCGTTTCAGGAAGGTCCCCTGGGCAATGCTGTCACGGCCTTGTTTAGCTGTTTTTGTTTTTTAAAGCAGTTTGGTAATATGTATTAAGAATCTTTAACATTTGCATATAAAGTGCTCTTTGGCTCAATAATATTACCTCTGGAAGTAATAAGAGTGATTTCCACCTATGTAGTGCTTATTGTACCAGATATTTTTGATAAGCTATTTTAAATCTTTGTAACAATTATGCAGAGTGGGAATCATTGGTCATATTTTACAGATAAATAAACTGAGGTTTTAAAGAATCAGGCAAGCTTAGGATTGAGTTCACACTCTGTCACTAATTAGCTGTCTTCCTAGGTCAATTTGTTTACCCTCTCTGAAGCAGTTTCCTGAGGTAGGACTGCTTTTTAGAAAATGCCAACCAGAATGAAATACCAGCTGCTTTTTTTGGACTCTCCACTCATTTGGAGTATCTCTGCCAGAGCTGACCTCCATTTCCTTAGACATTTAAGATTGAGTAAACCAGCCAGAATCAAACAGTGCGGAGAGCTGTGGACAGCGGCTTTGCATTGGGGGAAAATTCTGAGTTGTTTCTCCTACAGTTTTCCTGTGTGCATGCACACGGCCCTTCTCATATCCTCTGTCCCCAGTATTTGTATCTTATGCCCCTGCAAGACTGTAAATTCACTGAGGAAAGGGCTGGTCATAAACGTATCTTTGTATCTCTCCCAGCATCTACTGGTTTGGTGCCTTCCATGTGCCCAGGGAAAGCTCAAAGGTTAGTTTTTTCAGAAGCAGTTGGGATATCATGATCCAAGGGAAAGTAAGTACTTTGAGAGTGAAGAGCTAAGAGGTGGGGGCCTGGGAGTAGACACAGAAAAGATAAATATTAGGGTTGGAGACTTGGTAGTGAAGACTTGAAACCGAAGAGACCTGGGAGAATGCATTTAATGGCAAACATGCAAAATGTCCTCATTAGTGCTAAACCAAGAGAATTGTCTTAGGTTGGTTTCTCAGATGCAGATCCCGAGAGGGGGACCAATGTGCAAGTGATTTATTCAGGAAACGTTCCCAGGAGGACAAAGTAAAGGAGCAGGAAGCAGGGCAGGAGAGGGGAAGAAGCCAGAGTGATGTCAGGCAGGTTCCAGCCTTATCCTGGACCCACAGATGTGCTCTAAAGTACAAATCACAAGGCAGCGTTTGTCCCTGCTGGAGGCCAGGGCACTGGGCTTTCACACGTATGCACCAGCCATCGGGTCAGGGCTGAGAGGTGACGGGAAACTCAGGCACTTCTGGCTCCGTCCATGTGGACAGCGTGGCTCCAGCACCCAAGTGCCAGCCTTCTGAGAGTCAACAGGTGGAAGGAGTTAGAAAAGGCACGGAGAAGCTGGGTGTGGGGTTTGGAGAGGTGTACATATATCCTGGGGGTGTGGCTGGGGCGGCAAAAGGGTCGCCTTGATAACTGAACCCTTGCCCAGTGGTACCTCCTGATGTGTGGGTCCCCGCTTCCTCCTCTGCAAAGGGCGGGTAGTGTTATGTGCTCATGTTGCAGAATGATAGGGAAACAAAACAAAATGAGAGTGCAGGCATAGACTCGTGCTGACAGCAAGGAGACATTATCCACGGACAGGTGCTGTTATTGCATCCCTCCCTTCCGGGCCCAGAGGCTATATTAGCTCCGTCCTCGCCGGACAGCCTTGCAGGCATCAACAGGGACCGCCTTGGAAAAGAGCCTGTCGCGTTGGAAAGAAAGCAGGCACTTTTTAAATGTTGATAAATTTTGCAGCAGTTTCTTTAATATATACCAGCCACCTTGAACTACATCTAATTAAGCACCAGACACCATGCTGTGGCTGTGTTTGGCTTTGATGTGCTCATCAGCATAGTGGGGAGCTAATCATAACAGGACTTAGCTCTTATAAAATGCCTTTTATCTTCGGAGTGGTTTACAACCACTAATTATTAGAGGAATTAGGGTGAACAGCAGCCGTCTCACAGAGACCTGCAGCCGCTATCCAGGGCCTTTGATGTATCCTATCATAGAGCCAGAGAAGTGGGAAGGGGTGTTTATTAACGGTTGTCCAGACCTGGAAGAGGTGTTTATAGGAGACAGCTGTTCTCTTTCTCCCTTGAGGCTAGAACAAGGAAATTGAGCCTAATTTGAGGAAAAAGCAGGCAAGATATAGTGGTTGCATAAGCGACAGCCGGCCACCGAGTGGTAAGTTCGCCTTTTCAAAGGCGCTTGCATACACTTGCCCCTTTGTATGGGCTGGCGGGGCACATGGCCCTCCTGGTGGCCTGTGGTGGGTGACATTATACCACCAAGTCCCATGCAGCCGGGGCAGCCAATGGGAGACTGATGGGCCTCTTCATTGTATCCCTTATATAACATTTTTTGTTTTGTTGCTTTTTGTTTATTGGTTTGTTAGGTTAGAATGTGATCTGGGGTGTAGGGTTTGAGTTCTACAGAAATAAGAATAGTAACAAGAGCTCACACTCCTAAGGTACCATCCCACCCTCATGTCACAGGTGAGGAAAGAGGCTCAGGGAGCTGAAGAAACCTGTTTGTGGCCACATGGCTGGTGCCCCAGGTGGTCTGGCATCTGGCCTTGGAGTCTGTTCTTATCCCCCAGTAAGAGGCCTATCGGAGAAGGGGTGGGATTTGCCCAAAGCCCCCCCTCCCCCACCACGTGTCAAAGAAGCACATGGCAATCTCATAGGGAGCAGGGAAGGTCTGGTTTCCAGACTGGCCTGGCTCCTGTGCTGACACTTGACTCTTGAGCCGTGGGTGTGTGTGTATGTGGGTTTTAGGACCTAGCAGGGGCGTGGGAGGCAGCCCCCTGAAGAAGCAGCTTGGCCACTCTGCCCTCCCTGAGAAGACCCTCACATCTGCTGCCTGGTCCCAGCAGAGGATCCACACAGAGCCATGGGGAGGGGGAGGGGCATGGGCATGAACAGCAGCCAGGCCACCTGTGGAACCCTGATGTTTGGTTAAAGCACTTTCCCCCATCTACTAAGATGGATTTAAAACAGGCCCCACCCGGTAAGTCCAGGGTGGGGACACAGTCTACAGTGGCATCAGCTGCCATGGCCTGTGCAGACAGTGCTGGGGACACAGAAATGACCTCTCAGGACACCTGGGCAGAAACCCAAGCATCACAATTTCTTCCTTGTGGAAATATGGACACCCTAGGAATATTCAGGTATGATAACCTAGGGCAGCGGTTCTCAACCTGTGGGTCGCGACCCCTTTGGCGGTCGAACGACCCTTTCACAGGGGGCGCCTAAGACCATCCTGCATATCAGATATTTACATTACGATTCATAACAGTAGCAACATTACAGTTATGAAGTAGCAACGAAAATAATTTTATGGTTGGGTCACAACATGAGGAACTGTATTTGAAGGGCCAGAAGGTTGAGAACCACTGACTTAGGGCTTTCCCCCACCCCGGCCCAGAGAATGAATGTTAAATACTGCAGTGTCTTTTTTCCCCCCACAACACCATTCTGATACCAAATGTGTGTCCTTTGACTCAATTCAATTTTGACAGTAACATAGACCCCACGGATTAAGGGCTCAGTCTCACAAGACTGTCCTCACTTGTATGCCAGTCCCAGATTGTCACTCATGTGTGTGACTGACCAGCTATACACAACCCTCTCCTCAGGTTCAGTAATTCACTGGAACAACTCCCAGGACTCAGGAAAGCACTTTAGTTACTTTTAGTTACTGATATCAGCTTATAAAGGATGTAACTCAGGAACAGCCAGAGGGAAGAGGTGAGCGGGGCAAGGTGTAGGGAGAGGGTGCAGAGCCTCCGTGCCCGCCCAGAGCACACCTCCAAGTACTTACCGA